ATCCAAAAATGGCCTTCCACTTGGAATTTGATCTTGAATAAAAAAGATGGCATAAAATAGACCCATTGAATGACATTTTGAAACTTGAATCATTCAAAATCTCCAAAAATTGAGAGAGTTATGACTTGTTAAAGTTAGCAAAAAATCATGAAATAAGCTATAATCTTTCGTATCCTTAGGGCATCTTCCATCCATTTTCTCACTTTTCACATAAAAGAAGGAATAAATTTCACATCCTCAAGATCATTGTGGAAAAAGATTGGGCTCAAGTTGTTAAAAATTGACCAAGTTATGATCATTTGAAGTCACACATGGGAATTTGGGGGTTCATCTGGAGGACTTGTAATCTTTCTTCATCATCAAGTTTCTTCCACATGAAAACTCCTTGAAACTTTTAAAGTTATTTTTTAATAACTCTTTTAATAGAAGGATGTTTTTGGAATCACTCAAAAATACCAAAAGATGAGAAAGATGTACTTCTTTGAAGTTCAAAACCCTAGCTCCTAGATCAAGAAAATGCTTTGAGGAACTTTGACAATTTTGAACAACCTTCTTGTACAAACACTCTTGCTTTGTTAATATAAGTTATTAAGGATTATAATGAGAACTCATAGCCACCAAAACCACTTCCATATCTTGAGAATTTATAGAAATGTGCACTTGTGAACAATGGGAACAAGACCTTGTCCAATCATGACAACTTCTTCCATCAACCCCTTGTACCTTTGAATCAATTTGATAACTTTGAAATGTGATGAACCTAAAATAAACCTTGACATGCCATTTCTTCCAAAACAACTTCAATGGTGAGGTTTGTAGTTCTCAAGCTTTATTGACTAGGTCATGGAAATAAAATCATGAACCCATAGATCAATTTGCTAAGCCACATTGACTTTACCTATATTATCAACAAGTAAGACAATCCAACATTGCATTTTATTAATTAGAAATAAAATCAAGACAAAATATCCATGATAACAAAAGAAAACAAGTCAAGGTGCTTGGTGATTCCTCAAAGAGTAAAACTAAAGATAGGAAGAAGAACCAAAAGCCCTAATGTGATCTTGTTGTGATTGAATCAACATGGTATGATGAAGGAATCTTAGGGGGGGAATTGGGGTACAACACCATGCGCGCTAGGGGCTGCTTGTATTGGATATGTAATGAAATAATAAGAAAAAAACCAAAATGGTACCACTTGGGCTCGAACCCAGGTCCCAAAGGTTAGCAGGCGCGCGCTTTACCACTGGGGTGGCTATACATCCGTTTATTAATACAAAACCATAAATATTTATTTGAAAAAAAGTCAGGAGGCCAACTTCATCTTCTTCCTCGCGCCAACAATTTTGAAAACTGTAACTTCATCAATTCTCAACCATTTTCAAAAGTGTAAACATGAAACTTGTGCATTTTTCCACCACAAATCCAACCATGTAACTAACTTAAGCTAACACTCAAAGATAAGGATGGATTTATGTTAGTACCAAACTGAACCCTAATTTTTCAGAAAGTTCAAACCCAAAATTCTCAATACACAATCAATATAAATGAAAGTCATGGACATGGTTAGCTTCAGAGCAATGATATCTACATTTCTACTTCAAAATGTATGTACAAAAGATGCTTGTATCAAGATATCACAATTGAGAAAAACTTACCTTAAAGTGATAATTGTGTATGGAGTTTGAGAAAACTTTGAGATGTCCTGATGATCTGTTTAGCTGGTCTGGAGCTCCTTGAGTGTATTCCAACTCCTACTTTGCTTTAAGGATGGCTGAAACTCCCAACTCAAGTTAAGTTACAAGCTTCAGTTTTGAAAATGGTGGATAGTGATGGAGCGGTTACAGTCTTGAAACAGGGACTTGGATCACTTGTGTATGATGTATGTAAGGTGTTTGGATGATTAGGAACTAAAACGCACGAGTGAAAATGGAGATGGTGAGTTTTGGCTCAAAAACTGTCAAGTTTGGGCAGATTCAAGGCAGTATGGAGTTTAGGTAGTTTTGGGAAGGCTTGAAATCGTGTATTAGCTTGCAAATGGTTTCTATATTTATATGAAAAAGGTTAGAGGTCTTTTGTACAACAGATTTCTGAGTTATAGGGTTATGGCTAGATTGCTTGATTTTGAAGAAAAGTGAGAAAATCAAGTTTCAAAATTTTATACCAGCAATGTAGAGTGGTTGAATCACTTTAAACATATTTCTTCTGACCTTGTAGATGGAGTATGACCATAGGGAACAAGTGAGAGGCTCAAGAATTGACTTTGTGCATAAAAGCCACTTTTCCAAAATGGCAATGTTGCCTTTCTTCCTAAAATGGTATTAAGCACGGGAAATGCATTGAATGCTTGGATTAAAGCTTCTAACAGCTGTGTAGACATTTAATTATGGAGTGAAAGGAAAGTTAGAAGCCTGCGAAGTGGGATTTTTACAGCATGCTTGAAGATTGGATCAAGTGTTCATCACAAAATTGACTTGTAATACAAGAATGAAACCCTAACTTCATGGCTTCGATTCTCTTAGCTCAAGTATGATCTCAATGAGTTCTTGGACATTTTGGAAAGCTTGTAACATCCTATACAATATCTATGTTGGGAATTTTTTTAAATTCAATTTGGAACTAGGTGAAAAATTTCCATGAAGTTAGGTCAAAATCCTGCCTAACTAGGACAAAATTTCACTAAGTCTTTTAAGTTTCATGACCATGTCTTCACAAAATCATAACTTGAAATCCAAGCATTTCTAGGAAAAGTTCTGCCCTACAATGTTTTAGATCTCATTGATATCTACAACTTTAATATTGGAAGTTTCTCTTGAATCATCTTGCATCATGGTGGAAATTTGGCTCAAAGTTATGAAAAAAGTGAACTTTTCCAACACTTAGAAAAAATTCTAAGTTAGAAATTTTGACTTTTCAAAATGAAATTTGACTTTTTGATTTCTTGATGAACAAGTTTCATATTTTGACATGCTTTGATGAATTGTAATCTTTGAAATTTGATTTTGATCAAAAAGTCAAAGTTTGACTTTTCAGTGTATACTTGACTTTTCATCAGTTGACTGAAATTCAACTATCAATCAAACGATCTTGAGAAACGTATTGAGCCATGCCATTAGGTCAAAATTAAGTATATGAATCCGGAGATCATGCCTTAAACCAATGAGTCATTTGTTAGGTCAAAAATAAAAAATTACACCTCAGTCAAAACCCTAATTTTGACCATTTTGCCCTTTTGATGATCTGATCATATTTCTTGAGGAATTGTGATCCAAACTTGATCAATTGACATATATGAGTTCATGATGTTGATGTGGATAAAAAATTATGAAGTTTGACTGCAAATTGACCACAATTGACTTTTCCCCCAATACAACTGATTTTAGGTCAACTGAATGTGATCCAAGACTTGAAACTTGACATGAGCAATATTGAGGATCCAAAATGATCCATGAAAGTCATATGGGGCATTAAAAGTCCATTTTACCTTGTGCAAACTCAAACCCTAATTTGAGTCAACAGTGCTTAAGGAGGTGTCTTGAGCTGATCAAACCTTGTGCAGTCTTGAACCAAATGAGATCTTTATGAGGAATTACTTGAGAAATGAGAGGGAAAATTTTGGGGTACAACAAGAAGTAACAGAGAGAGAAGGTAGAATTTGAATAGTTCCAATTCCTTCGGATCGGGTTTGAGAACCATTGGCAGAAGTTATTGTAGGTAAGAAACCAGAGGTAGAGAGGGAAGAGAAAAGATTTTTATTACCAGTAACATGATCATACGCACCATAATCAAGGACCTAAAGTCCAAGAGAAGATGACTGAGAGAAGCAAACAAATGAATTACATGTGTGTGCAACCGAAACAGTAGAATCTGAGTTCTGATATTTCTGATACCACTTGAGAAAATCATCGTAGTTTAGCGTAAAGTTCTGAGGAGTAGCCATGAGTATCAGATTTGGAAAAGTTGCACGGTGGCGAGTGCGGTGGTGTTAAAATCGTCGGAATCGACCGGATCGAATGAGGTGTTTTTGCCGGTAGGGTTAGTTTGTTGGAAGTTCGCCAATTAGTAGCGGCGGATGGCGGCAGCAGTCCGGTGGTTACCAGAGAATTTTGGAAAGTGGGAGGCAAACCAAAGTGATGACACGGTTTAAAAAAAAAGTCACCGGAAGACAGTGGATCAACCGGGTAAAACACGATGAAGAATTGCCTCTTAGTAGACTCTAGATACCATATTGAATTAGAAGAGACTAACAATTAGGTTTAACCGTGTGTATTGAAAAGCACTACGGAAACTTTATTATATATAGAGAGATTACAACTAATGCTATGATATAGTCAATGTGAGACTATTTTACATACAAATATTCTTAACACTATATATATATATATATATATATATATATATATATATATATATATATATATATATATATATATATATATATATATATATATATATATATATATTCAACAATTATATTCTTTGCTCAAGAATACATTAAAGCATAGACGGAAAGTTATTGCCAAGATGAAAGTTATTCCGTATTTCTTCATTACGTTAACAGAAAGTCACATTTTTCTGTTGCTGCAACCTTTTTCTCAAGCCTTTTCTATTTGTACTTGATCCAGCTGGTCTGTTTTTTATCTTGCCTACCTTCAAATTTAATGTACTTGAGACTGATTGCTGGGTAGCATGGTCAATCGGGTAAAAAATGAGCTACATTGAAGTCTCCACGTGCATGTAGGCATTGGTTTCATGGTCAAGTAATTTGACTCGAAGTAACTCCAGTCATGTTGACAATGTGATAGGTTACAGTAGAAAGAAAGAAGATACTTTAGTAAGAATCTTGTAGTATTAATGTAATTGCTATAGAAAAAAATCTGATAGCGAGCTACCAGACCTAGCCAAGTGGTTCCTTGACTAGAAAGTGATTATCGGTGATCCCTCTCATCTTATTTCTTATGTAACTAACTTTTCCCTATACAAGTCATTCCCCTCCTCACATGCCAGCTCAGATTGTTCGCTATTCTCAAAACAAATTCTATAGCAAACCTGCCAAGCCTTGGACCTGTCATCAGGACTTGGTATCAGCTTGCCTAATTCTTCGACACAAGTTCTATCACTTTGATTCAATTTTTAAGATACTGAGATACTTCTATGGTTGACTAACACTGTTCTCTTTTCATGTTTACATATAAAGCTTTGCCAAATTAAGAGGTAAGGTATCTCGAAACTCTTTTGAAGTTTCCATTTCATATTATTCACATGCATGTCTTGAAAATTTTCCTGTACAACAACAACAACAACAACTTTGTCTTTTCCCGCTAAGTGTGGTGTTTGATTGCAACTTACATATTTGTGAACAGGTTGAAAATGGTTTCAAGGGAAACTGTTTTCCAGTGATAATAGCCGACATCCATTTGCAAGGAATTAAGATCGCTTGAGTCTGAATTTGATGAGGATGAAAAAATATGTGATGCCATTTCAGAGGAGCACGGATATCATTTTGCGAGGCCCAAGTCAAGGGATGAGGCTTTGCATTTTCTGAATGAGTTTGGCTGGCTGTTTCAAAGGGAAAGGTTGTGGAATGTGCACGATGTTCCAGATTATTCGCTCGACAGGTTCAAATTTGTTCTGACATTTTCTGTGGAGAGAAACTGTTGCATGATAGTCAAAACCCTTTTGGATATGTTGGTTGATAAACACTATGAAGGAGCAAGTTTGTCAACAGGGTCAATGGAGATGCTTAAAGCAATCCAACTCCTAAATAGAGCAGTGAAAAGAAAGTACATGAACATGGTTGATTTACTCGTCCATTATTCTATACCCAGCAAAAATGACACATTCAAGAAATATGTATTTCCACCGAATATGTATGTACCTTTTACACTTCTATGATTTATGTGATAACTATCTTTTGCAAAAGAGTGAGGTTTTGTTGTGCCATTCTGCTGTGTTGGTTCTATACTGTAGGATCCATATCCTAGACTGCATATTTAAGAGCAATATCCTACAATGTAACTTATTCTCTCTACCGGCTTCACATTTTCAAAATGAACATAAAACCCATTGAAATTTGGACAGCCAAAAACAAAAACTGTTTTGGTTTACAACATGACAGAACCAAAGATGGTAATTATTTTGAAAATAAAAGGAGTAAGATTGAAAATTGAAAATTTTGTTATTACCGGATTAATTGAGTTTTAAGGGATTATGCATTTGATGTAATGTTTTTTTGGTTACTATTTCATGTAAAGTTTTGTTTAAGGATATAATTATGTTAAAAATAGATCCAAATGCCAATTGTGTTAATAAGAATTGTTTTCTCAAATTGATTAGTTAAAACAACACATAGGATAAAACTTCTTTTTTTCTATGGTATAAATTGATTTTCTTCGTTTAACAATTTCATTGCAGTTTAAATAAATCTGATACAAACCATGAATCCATTTTTTAATGGAAAAATACTCCAAATGTAACTTTAAAGGTGACATTTGTGATTTGTTTATGAAAAATGATATGAACTTTCTTATTAAAAAATGAAAAATAAAGGGAATGCACCAAATTTGGATACACAAATGCGGAAGTTACAATTTTGTTTTTATTAAAAAATATGTCTTTTTTAAAAAAATAATAAATTATATATTTTATATAATTAATAAAAATAAAAATAAAAATAAAAATATATTAATTCAAACACGATAAAAATATATTATTTTTTAATTATTTATGTATGTAATATCTTTATTTTAAAATTATTTTTAATTTAAATTTGTGAAAACAAAAGTGTACGTAATACACTCGTATTTATACGAACTTACGAATATTCTTATTAAAATCCGTGCAAATCTGCATAGTATTATATTTTCTATACAATTAAAAAAATTAAAAAAATACATATATTAAATAATGTATAAATCCAAACACGGACCAAATATATTTATTTATATTATTAATATTTATTTATACAATTAAAATAATATTTTCAAATATTATGTTATTAACTGATATTTATAAAACTAAATGATTGTAAAAATATTTTTATAAATATTGTCAAAACAAATTTTATATTTACATACGAAAAAATATGATTTATCCTAATATTTATATATATGAAAAATTATATTTATACTCAAAATATAAATAAAAATATGTTTAAAATAAAAATAAATATATTTAAAATAATGTAAGAATTCAGACACGAACAAAATAGTAAAATAATTTTGTTTTTCTTATTTATATTTTTATTATAATTTAAAAACAAAAGCATGCATACCACACCAATACACATGAGTATCCTACTAATTTTAAGAGAAAATGAATGATGGACTGATAGTTTAAAATATTTTTACATTATCGACCAATGACAATCATGTAAAGTGTTAAGTCACACTTTAAATTTTAAAATATTTTCATGATTTAATACTTTAAAATATTTTGTTTAAATATTTGCATAATATTTTTTACACAGTACACTACTATTAAACTGATATTTTAAATAAAATTAATTAAAATATACTTTCAATGTAAAATTATTCTACAATATCATTAAATTAGAATGAATTAAATATATAAAAAATAGTTATTAAAATAGTTTAATTATAATTTATTTATTTTATTTATGATTTCATACATGTGTCAAAATGATATATTTTAATTGATATTATAAAGTGATTTTACACTCAACGATAATTTACACGTGTATCAATCAAATCATACTAAACAAATATTAATTGAAATATTTTAAAATTGATCTAGATATATATATATATATATATAAGTGATTTGATTGGATATTTTTAAAATGTTAGTGTACTTTATCGTCAGCCATTGGCCTGAAATTCTGATAAAGAAAGAAAAGAAAGTTTTTTTCCTCCGATCTCTCAAACCCCATAACTTTTCGACAAATGGGTGTCGATGAATGTCCGCGGCGCTGGCTATGGCGGTGCTTCCTTTTATTCATCGAAATAACAACCGTTTCAACCACCGTAACCGCTTCCGACAGTCACAAAAACCGCGAAAACCTTGTGTCGAGAATTGCCTTTGGATCATGTTCTAACCAGAGTGCTCCTCAGGTTTCAATTTTGTTCTTCTGCTTTTGTTTGTTTTTCTTTGTACTTTTGTTCTATTCTGTTTTTTTGTTTCCTTCAAACGTTCTAGTGTTGTCGTTTTGTTGCTTATGTTTTTCTTTTCCAACCATGATGTCCCGATTCTCGTATCAACACAGTAAAAACATATGTTATGTGTGGTCCTTTAATTTGATTTTCATGTAACATTCAACGGACCAACCACTGTTTCTGTTTATTATTTTGCTTGAATTCTAGTTCTGTGTTCTTTTCAAAAGGGTGAGATTATAGTTATTAAAGTTTAGTTTGCAATGTTACATTGGTAACTTGTTTTGCTTCTTTGTCCTCAACAACTTCCTCTATAATGCAAGCTTGGTATTACTTCCTATTAGACCATCTTTGAGAACTTGCAAGGCGGGTTACCGCACCGGACTCACCGAGCTCAAAATTTATCACACGGTTAAACTGTGACTAATAGGGACTCATAAAATATTGTCCCGGTTAAATTGTAGTTAAGTAGGGAGTCTATTTGTTTTGGCACAGTTAAACTACGACTAACCTACACAAGCAAGCTCGCTCTCCTAAAACTTGAGACGGCTCTGCTTCCTATATATCAAGGTTGTTAAATAGAAGCTATATTTGGCACTATAGCATAGCAAAACTCGAACAAATTGTTTATTGTTTATTGTTGTGTGATACGCTATTTAGTGTAAAATGTTATCAAAAGACGTTGTTATACTATTGCGTAGCGGAATTTGCAGACTACTACTTCCTGTGATCTAGGATTGACAATACTGCTATAAAGACCTATATTTGTCAGCTTGTTAATATACGTGTATGCTGTGTTTTGTGTATCTTTGCCAGCCTATATGGGATGCAGTGGCAGACTTCAATCCTCAAATATTTATATTGATGGGAGATAACATTTACGGAGACATCAAACGCCCTTTTAAAATTTTTGGACGAGAGAGGACTATTGGGCCATGGAAGAATGTTCCGCGATTTCTTCCTGCCTCTGAGCAGGAAATGGAGGCTAAATATCAGAAGGCTAAGTCTAATCCAGGCTATGCTCGGGTTAAAGAGAGTGCCGAGGTTTTCATTCTAAAACTCTTATAGTTGTTTTTGTGGTGGCTGTCTTTATTCATTATCTTTAGTCTAACTTTTACATTGAAATGTTATAGGTTATTGGTACGTGGGATGATCATGACTATGGATTAAACGATGCAGGAAAAGAATTTCATAAAAAAAAGACCAACCAAAAGTTACTTCTTGATTTCTTGGATGAACCTCAAGATAGCCCAAGGTGGATGGATAGGATATGTTATAACTTATAATGATAAAATCTTATGTTATAAGCGCGCCTATTTAAGTTGTTTATCCAAACAGTGTCTTGGTACTTACTGTAGCTCTTATTTCAGGCGGAAACAGGCTGGTGTCTATGCCTCATATACATATGGTCCCATGGGAAAAGATGTCAAGGTATTGACCGAGTAAAATTCATTTTCTTCATTCCATTTCGATTCATAATATCTTGTCATGGTTATTATGCCGTGGTTGGTTATAAGCCCCTACAACATCTCAATGACGCAACATTTCACTTTGTTATCTTTAGTAACGAAGCTACAATTTTTTTTTAAATAGTGTTTAAATGTTTAAGCAGGCATCTTGTATTGTACTAATATCATCTTTTGTTGTGAATCGGGGAAACCTACTCAGGTCGTACTCTTAGATACCAGATACCACAGAGATCCTGTAGGAACTGATGGAACCATTTTGGGGGATTCACAATGGTCATGGTTGGAGAGAGAGCTAAAGGGTCCACCAACAGCCATTACCATAATTGGATCTTCTATTCAGGTACGGTAATTTGTTATAAAGGGTTACAATCACTTAAATGAACGAGATTAATCAGTCTGTAAATTTTATTAGATATCTAACCATAATGTATACTACGACATCTGTGTCTATTTAAGCTTTCGGCTGCGTTATGTATTTCAGGTTATATCAAATCTATCGGCAACACTTCAACCGTTGGTCGCAATGGAATCATGGGGTCGTTTTCCAAAGGAAAGAGACCGCCTTTTCAAATTAATAGCCGATAGTAAGGTAATAATATAACATGAAGTTCATTCTATTTCTACATTTTGTTTTACTTAATGTTGTGAATCAATATATATTGAACATCTTGTTATTTCGTTCTTTACAGCGAGGTGGAGTATTATTTATAAGCGGAGATGTTCACTTTGGCGAAATAACAAGATATGACTGTGCTTCGGACTATCCACTATTTGATATAACCTCAAGCGGGCTTACTCAATCAGTTGAGGAAGTTGTTCCGCGTTTCTTGCATCCTCTGGTGAGATTTTTTGCATGGTTTACGCCGTCTACAATGAGAGTTAAGGGACCAAATTGCAAATACAAATCCTGTGTATATGGTAAACTTTATCTCCTCGTTTTTGTACAAGAATACTTACACATTGGTTTGAAATGGTTTCCATGTTTTGATGTTTCAAATGTGGGATTTTGTTAGGCCAGCCAAACTTCGGAACCATTGAAATCGTTTGGGAATCTCACCCCGTGAGTGTGAAATTCGAAGTTCGGGACAAGAATGGGGTCGCTGTTACAGGTGTCAATGTTTCGTTAACGGAGTTACATCCATCAAAATCAGACTCTCTTGACAAAGTAAAAACAGGAGATAATCAGAGGCATTGCACTCTTGAAGCTAGTTTGCCGTGGATTAAAAGATATCGCATAGCGATCTTATTTTATTTTACGATAGCTGGTAAGTCCAAATTTTATCTGCTACTCAAATTAACGTCTAACTATCAGTTA